AGCAATACTAGTTCCCTACCTGCAAGTGTTAGTCTGAATATGTGTTTTCCCAGTTACATATCATTTAGACCTTTGCTGATTGCATGTCTATCAGAAATGACGTAATTTTCTGGCTAGTCAATGCATTATGACGTCACGAAGTGCGTCAATTTCATCATTTTCTGAAGTCTTCAAAAAACAGCCAATTTTGAAAGCTATTTATCCATATTTAATATAGAGTGCAACCTCTGACCTAAAATTAGCAACTATTAAATGATCAAACTTTTTCTGAGGATAACAAGATATGTTTTATTCTTTAGAACAGAGAGTGCACTCATATTATTTTTCTTTGAAAGTGCTCAAATAAACCTGTTTACACTAAAATTCAAGAACAATGCAATTCCATAAAGCCAGTGCTCCAAGAACTGGAGTTTAAGGAGAAAATTTTTCAGAAGAAATGAAAGTACTTAGTTTCTACTTTATTTTGATGTTTAAAATGGAACATAAAGTGTTAGTCAATAAATTGGTATATCTACAGGGTCGTTTTATGCATAAAGTGAACCAAGCTCTTTAAGTAGTAATTGATTTAACAATCAAGGAACCATCACATATTCATTTACCCATTTTCCAGATTTATACAAATGGCTATATTACTCTTGATGGTGACTTCAACAGTGGAAGACCTCATCTGTTTTCAAATCCAAATGAAATACAACCAGACTCTATGGTAGCTCCTTTGTGGTCAGACATTGACATGACTAGAGATTCCAGAATCTGGTATCACTTCTACAATAAATTCACAGCTGACTCATCAGTTCTAAGCCAGGCCCAATCTCTGATTGTGGAGAACTACAGAGATTCAGTTACAGCCTCCAGTTTTGATCCTAACACAGCTTTAGTTGTCACCTGGGAAAATGTCCATCCAGCTCCTGTATCTTCATATTCCTCACAGGTAATAAAAAGCGTAATTTTTCCGCAGGGTGGTAATTCAGCTGGATCATAATTTTTGTTCAATGTACAGTAGGGCTGGGATGATACAACATTTTTTATATTGATACGTAATACGATATTTGATCCACAATACGATATGTATCACGATATGTTTAATTGCTTATAAAATCTTTTTTTGCAATGAAATAAACAAATTATTTCTTCGCAAATAAGAATAATTTATTTAAAAAAGTTCTTTATTTATTGTAAAAAAAATATTTGACTCAAGTGGTGTTAATTATTATTTATTTCATATCTTTATTTATATTTAGCTTATTTATTTTATGTATTAAACCACAAATGTTAAATAAACAAAGAAAAACAGAAGTAAGATTTTTTTGGACGATATTTCTTCACATGTATCGATATGCGTATCGTCCTCACAGATATCACAATATATCGATATCTCGATATATCGTCCCAGCCCTAATGTACAGGTGGAAAATTATACAATTTCTTGGACAGCCTTGAGGTATGCACGGCCTTGATATGTGTTTTAAATTCACTTCAAGTACACTTCAAAGTGCACTCCGTTGAAAAGTTCTTGTTCTCTACATGAATATATATTAAAAACATTTAATTTTCCTCTTGGAATTAATTCATACTGTAGTGAAAAACACTATAAAAAATTTATCCCAGTGTACTTGAAGTGCTAGAAGATCTGTTATGATTTTCAAAAAATACTTTTTTATACAGAATGCCAGTTTCCAGTTGCTGATAGCCAGTGATGGAGTGACCACTTACACAGCCTTCCTGTTTAAACAGATGGACTGGGTCCCTCCCAAACCTGCCCTCCTGGGCTACAAGTGTGGGTCAAATGACTTCTACAGCCACCCTGTTTCACTGACCAATCACATGCTACAGGAGGTCATAAATAACGGATATAACAGTAAGTGTGGTGTACTTTTGTTGAATGAAAATTGAGCTCTTTAATCCTCAAGAAATAAAAATAAATTGAAGACTTTACAGAATTATGCCACTGTGACAGGGAATTATATTAAATATTCATATTTGATGTCTTTAATAGTGTACTTTTCCTTTCATAGATGAAAGTAAACAAGGACTATGGATTTACAAATTGGACAGAATGAACAACTTCATAAACTTTGCTGAAAAATGCTACACTTGGATACAAAATTCTGGAAAACCGGGATTTTCGGCTATCAAATTGGCCAACACAAAATTAACCAAGTGTCCCTGTAGTGAAGACAGGATACAAAAAGATGGCCGCTTTGTCCAATACCTGAAACAGCCCAACTGTTATGTATTGGAGTTCTCACCATATAATATAACAGGGACGAGGGTAATGGGACTAATGCATATATTAGTATAATTTTATGGTGAACATGTCATGAGCTTTAGAAATATCTTTGCAAAACAAAATTTAGAATCAATATATTTGTAAATTTTTAAGTGACTGTTGTGCCAAATAAAGAAAATATATGAAGAACAATTGGGTTTTCATGCAACAAAAAGGCCTATCCAAACTTGCATGGATGTTTTGTGGCATTTAGGAATGCACATGCACTACAATCTTGCTTTGGATGCTACATGTGATCCATTATTATCTGGATGCTTTAACTTATTTTTTATGGAGCAGATTCATCTGATCTGGTATTATAAGCCCTATCCTGATCAAACTTGCATATTAGTTGCAACCAAGGATTCACTGTATTAGTATTAGACTTGTTTTAGATGGTGTATTTGATCTACAAATTACAGATGAGTGGTCAGGTCAATATATAATTTCCAACTACTTCTCCTACTGTTTGAATAATTTTTTCAAGACTTGGCACAAATTTTGAGATCTTGTCTTGGTATTGAAAGAATTTCATGGTCATACATAAATGCTTTGTTTGAATTTAAATCAAAATACACAGTATAATTGTTTTTCTTTTTGAAATTTCAGAAATGCTGTTACTCAACAAACTCAACCCATTCCAATTTGATCAGCAGTGGTAGAGAAGCTGGTTTTATTTACACTGAGCACCCTATACATAATGAAGCCGGGGCCAATCTGAAGGATGAAGAACCACACAACTACTGCTGTATACAGTCCAACCTCTGTAGTGAATTCCTCAAACTGAGAATTTCTGATACCTGTGAATTTTACACTCCACTCAGATCTGGTATGGATTGACTGCTACACTTGAATTAATTGATTCAGAGAAAGGACTATAAATGTGCAAAAACAGTTTATTTGCCTCCATAAATAGAATCTTAAAATGCACTTTGATTATTTAATAATCATAACTTTCCTACTGCTTTATGAGTTACCTGTACACTTCAAAGCAGTTTTAATTTATAGAGGCCTAATATCTTCTGAGTTTGATTGTTTTTTTCCTCCCCAAGGCTCCTCCTTTGGAGACCCCCATGTAAGAACACTGGATGGTCTGACCTATACATTTAATGGACTGGGAGAGTATGTGATGCTGACTATGGTAGAACCAGGGACAAACCTCACTCTACTGGAGATACAGACTCGTACAGCACAAGCTGTCAATGCTAACGGAACCAAGATAAACGCCACAGTCTTCCATGCGTTTGTTGTCAGGGAAAAGAATGGGGGAGAGGTTCAGGTAGAAGTCAACCTCGCAGAAACAGGTGAGGGGAGATTTTACATCAAGGGAAAATAACTCTACATGAGGAGATTTCTTTACTTGATGCATTTAAGTCTCAAACATACAATCTTGATGTGAGTTTTTTTTAGGGAGTTCATGCATTTTTGTAGGTTTGAATGTATTTCAACTAAACTTGTATTATTGGTTTAAAAAAATGATGAAAGTTTTCAGGCAGAAATTCATTTAATATATGTTTTATTTTCTTATCTTTTTTTCAGGCATTATTTTATATGCAGACAGAATAGATATCACCCCACAATTCTATGCCAGTGACACCTATACATATTACAGAGCTAATTCTATATTTATAACAAGAACAGGATCTAATGGAGTAAAGATTCTATTTCCATCAGGTACGTCAATTTTAATGAGAAAGTTTTTGCTGCTTGATTGGCTGACAAAATTCTATGATTCTTGTAGGAATATGGTCTGATCATATGTTTTGATTTCAAATGACCATGTTGAAATATTTAATATCAATTTTTTGTATTTCAGTAAATGAGCACTCGATCCTTGTGAATTTCAGAATGACTATTATTTTCACATTTTAGGTATAACTTTTGAAATGTCCCTGAATCTTGGAATGTTGGAGTTTACAACTGGTGTACCAGATTCATTGTCCTCGACGACAACAAACTCTGGCCTTCTGGGAAATGTGAACGGAGACATCAATGATGACCTGAAGACGCCTAACGGAACTCTTCTTCCCTCTAACTCAACAGAGAAAGAAATCTACCACAACTTTGGAGAACTCTGTAAGACCCTCACAGCTGTATTATTACTTTTTTTAAAAGAGCACATACATGTAATTTTCTAAGATTGTTCAAGTGCTGTATAAAATAAATCATTCTTTCAACAATGTCTTAGTCTGGACACCTTTCTCACCCTTTTCTGACAATATGCATGCAGTTTAGATGTAACTTAAAAGTTTCAATATTTTAAGTTAACAATTTTTTAGTGTCTGTGCATGATTTTAATTGCAGGGAGAGTTGAATGTGACAAGTCCCTGTTTGTCTACCAGCATGGCTTGACTTGTGCTTCCTACCAGCAGACAAACTTTACACCAATATTCATGGAGGACTTCACTCAGCAAGAAATAACGCGAGCTCAGGAGGAGTGTGGGGGACCCCAGAACTTCAACTGTATTTATGACTTCCTGGCCACGGAAAACCAGGCCATTGCTAATGTCACTAAAATAGCTTATCAGACGGCCCTACAGGAGGAGAGAAGTGCAGGTAGGAAATGAGCAAAATCTGCTTACGTCTGTATAAACATGAACATGTACAGTGGACAGCCAGATATCCGGACGTCAGATATCCGGATGCTTCAGTATCCGGACGATTTTTCATCGGAACGGAATTTTTTTAACATTATTTTGTCTTGTTTAACTGATGATTCAGATATCCGGATGCTTCACATATCCGGACAAATTGACTAGGAACCAAAGCGTCCGGATAAATGAGGCTCCACTGTAGATATATATGGCTTTTGACAATCAAATTTGCAGAGATTTAAATTTAAAATAAATTGTCATAAGGATCTGTTATAAGGATCAACAATGCATCAGAGATCTAAACTGTATTGCACCTTTCTTGTTTGCAGCCAACACAAGACCTGTCATAGATGGATTAGGTTCTATCTATACAGTGGTGGGTCAGAGCTTCACAATTACAGCCAATGCCTCAGATGTAGATGGAGACAATGTGACTATAGTCATGCTGAGTCCAGTAAATGTGACCTCCGCTACTCTCCCTGGGAATGTGTCCTTCTCCTACACCTATACACCACAAGACATGACTCCTTATGCTGTGGAGTAAGTTCATTCTGTGAAGTCTGCAGCCTATAAACTCTACATGATTTTTATGCCCTTGTCATTGAATGTCTGTATATTTGGACTTCTTCAGATTTGACTTGTTCAAAATTTAATTATTTTCTTCATGAATGTCTCCCACTTGGTCATATCATAATCATTGGTAAAAATTTAAAGATTTGGTACTAGTCTTGTTAATATTAAAGTTTCTGACCATTATCTAAAGTTGGTATCTTGCCATGAACTTTTATTTTGCTTATTTGATACATTTATGGATTTCAAAAATATATTATTTGTATATTACAGATTGTATGCCATTGATTCTTTGAATGGATTGTCCAGAGTATTGTATGAGCAGGTGTACCAGTGTTATAACTGTAGTAACCATGGTAACTGTAACAACTCCCTAGCAACCAGCACCAGTATCTCTTCATTCTTCATTGTATCATGTATTTGTGATCTGGGATGGACAGGTAAATAATGATATTAGATTAATCTAGACTAAAGTTTAAAAAAAGAGCATTTTCTTTAAAAAATCTGCACTGAACAACTTAACAAAGAAAACATAGAAAGGGGCAAATAATTTCAGGACACTGCAAATAAATATTTTTTTTTGAAATGGGAAAAGAAAAATATTTTTAACTTATAAAAAGCATGTACCTAAGAAAATATTGAAAATAAACAAGCCATTAGCTGACTTGGATATTTTAGGTAATTCCTGTGAAATATTTTGAATATTTTAGGTGATTCTTGTGAGATTGATATTGATGGTTGTGCTGGTTCCCCTTGTGATCCCCTAAGTAACTGTACAGACAATCCAGCAGCTGAGCACCAGTCAACAGGAAGGGCATTCAAGTGTGAAAACTGTCCCCAGGGATTCCAGATGACACAAACTTTTAAGTGTTTAGGTAGAAAGCAGTTTTACTTAGCATTTATTGAATTTTAAGGAACTGTAAATTGCAGAAATTATACATAAATATTTTATAAAGAGGTCATTTCTTCTTCGCAATAAAGATACATTTCTTATGACTTGAATATTTATCCCTTTCATAAATGACCTTAAGATATTGTAAACTGTGATTTCATCATTTGTCATTCAGTCTGGCTACAAAATTACTTACTGAACTTTTAATTTTATGTTGAATAGAAATAGGATGAGATACCTATTCCACAAATTAAATCCCATACCAAACCATTCTCACAATTTGCTCATGAGCAGCTCACGTGAGGACTAACCAGATTTCCTCACCTGAGTTGCTCATGTGAGTCTCATGTGCAATTAACATGCAAATTAGGTGAAATGCTCACGTGAGCAGGGTTCTGCACATTAGCATTTTTTGCTCACGTGCGGAATCATTTTGCTCACCTAGAATATTGCTCACATGAGACTCATGAGGCTCATGAGACTCATGTGCAACAATTAATTGCTCACTTGAACAAGCAACAATAGAACAAAATTCAGATTACAAACATTATATAATTATGTAATTTTAAAATGTGATTCATCAATTACATTTTAAATACTCTTGAGCAACATGTACATGTAAATACAGTGAACCCTCAGATATCCGGACGCCAGATATCCGGATGCTTCAGTATCTGGAGGATTTTTCATCGGAACGAAATTTTAAAATGTTATTTTGTCTTGTTTAACTGGTGATTCAGATATCCGGATGCTTCACATATCCGGACAAATTGACTGGGAACCAAAGCGTCCGGATAAATGAGGGTCCACTGTAGATGCATGCATAATTATGTTCAGTGAATTTCATTTTTTAAACTTAAAATGAAATGAAAACTTTAATTAAATTATTATAATTATGTACAGTACACATCAATTAAAGTATTATTATCCAATTAGTGAGTTCCATTTCCAGTAGATTAATATAGAACATCCAATGTAAATGTCCAGTCAACTTTTTTTGACTGCACTACATGTAGTACTAGATGGATTAAAGTTGTCTTAAAGTTGTCTTGGAGGCTAAGTAGATGTTTCTGCCTTTGCTGAATTTATGAGTGGCATGCAGTCATACTTGGGTGTAAAATAATAATCCAGTGGTCATAAGAATCATAATCAATTCATCCTGTTCCATTCTTTTTCCTTGCATTTCCTTTAAATGAGTGCCAACATCAGAACTCCGTCATGTATGCAAGCTCAGCTTGGGTCCGTGATTAATCTGCAGATCCTTCGATTCCAACTTTAATCTGCAAAAAATTTGAAGTTATACTTCGTATATTTTCAAGGTTCCGTTGGTCATGAAAAGGCCAGTCTATAGAAAAATCATATGCATCAATATTTAATTAGCAACTTAAATACCTGTAATTCATAGAATACCGCACTGAGACAGTAAATGTCAATTGTACACTCTGACCTAATCTTTTCTTACCATATTTATAGTTCTTAATTAAACTGTAATTCCTGATAACATTCTGCATTAAATATATCAAAATTAAATGCACTGATAATTAACACACAAACATATCATTTTTTTTTAATTAGTAATATCTGAAATGAGAGGGGGGGATAATAAATTTCAGAGCACTTACCCTATTCTCAGATCAGCAAATTAATCTTTGAAATTTTCCTACATTGTGGCTGCACCATGGTATATCTAATTGATCTTTAATCAGCCCATGGACATACTGGATACATTTGTAACTTTTAAAGGCTGGCATCTAGTTCAATATGGTGATGACATGTATTTCCAAAAGCATATTTCAGTTCTTCACTGTATTAATCCATATATCAGATACTTTCAATGTCCCTCACAAACATTTTGCATTGAAATTTTGAACTGGTCTGAGAAGGAGCACAAATCCTGACTGGCTCTCCTCATTGGATACTGCCCCACTTTAAGTAACAGTGGGGGACACAACAGGTTGTTTAGGTAGAGGAAAGCATTTTCAAATTGATGGGAATATGAAGATTAGAAGCTCAATAAATTAAGATATTCCTGCCTGGTCCCCAATCATTTGTGATGCTATCATCAGGAAGTGTTAATGCTTAACACATGGTCAATTTGTAATAAAGGCTTGGGAAAGCTTGGACCACATAGAGTGTCAAAGTATTGTATTTCCTTACGTGAGGCTCACGTGAGGAATTGAGACTTGTAATTCTCTGGTTTTGGTTCTACTTGTAATACTGAATTTTGACTATATATGTCCAATTTCCTCACCTCTTGCTCACTTGAGAAAACTGAACTTATACCCCATTCATACGACATGATTTGCATACCTCAGTATATTTTACTCATATGTAAATTTACTCACATGTGCAATTTTTGTCGTATGAACTGATTTGCTCACATGTAAATTCTGCACAGTTGAGTAAATTTACACCTGGTCAGGACTAGGTGCAAATTAACTTTTGCATACATGTTGTCGCAAATTATTAGTTCTTGTGTGTAAATTTTGTCGTATGAACACGCAGCAAATTTACTTATGTATGTATTTTGTTTTGTTTATTGCACAAATCTCCATTTTAAGTGTTGTTTCGGTTGTTTATGCATTGTTGGGTGTATAATATCAGTCTGTTAGCATGGCGGCTAGAAAGCAAAACATAAAAAACTGGATTTTTATGGTCATCTTTGCTGTACTTCAACGACAGCTGAAAGTAATTCGAGTTTTGAAAAGGGTACTGCTTTAAAGGATACGCCGGGTTGTTCTAGCATAGTTCTTTCCACAAATGGCTTTTTCAACTTTGAAAACAAGAATCCACACTGTCTATATCTCCAGTGTCCTCCGAGATAAATTTGAATTTGCAAAAACCTGCACATCTTGCACCCTTTCTGGCAAGCCTATGTTTACGCCTCTAAATTAAAAAGATATAGCTGTGGTCCCGCAAGCATGTGCCCTGTAGGATTAATAAGTAGTCCCCTTACAATTCAAGTAGTCCTCATGGGAATGCTCCGGGGCTGTGAAAGGAATAGGCATTACATCAATCGCACGGGCCCCGGGCCATTACAGATTGACTTTCTTCTACCTTTCTTTGTTTTTAAACCAAGGCAAGCTACTGACATATAAATTAATGCTACAGGAATTTCAACAACCCTGTTGAAAATAACATTTATAAGCATTCTTGATCCTTGGCAACCGGTCCCACGATGAATTTTTAGGGGGTTCGTGTTTATTTCCTAGTCATATTATTTGTTTCGTTTGATTTTTTTTTGTAAATTGATTGTCCATTTCATTCTCCTGGAAAATACATATACTAAGTAATATTCAAGCAGATACATAATAATGACCTCGCAAACTTGATGTACTGTAGATTTCCAAACACCAAAAAGATTTCCAGTCATACTTTATTCTGCTGAAGACACCATTCAGTACATGGTAACAGCCATCTTTTCTTAACACCCAACGGCTCTTCTATAGACTTTAGGACCGAAACCAAGGCATTTTCAAATTTTAAACAATGATTTCAATTAATTTTCCTTTTTTCCCCCCTTTTTTTTCATGTATAAATTTTTCCTAAAAGTTATTAAGTTTGCTTTTTTCCATATCAAAAAATAAGTAGATCGGATTTCCCCTTCTTTCTTTGAGGAACATTCAAAAGTTAATTTTTATACCCAAATAGTAAAAAATAACATTTTTTTTTCTATACAAATCCACAATTCTGAATTCTGAATCTGTGTTCTCTTTATTTTATATGAAAATATAAGGATTTACTTACAGTACATAAATCTCGTCTGAACGCATCGCAAATTAACTTTTACTTACGTGTGTATATTTACTCATATGTAAATTTGCACACATAAGCAAATTTTCGCCGTATGAATGGGGTATTAGAAAAATCACTACCAATGCTATATCTTATAAATAAGGCTGTTCTTAGGTGAGCAAATTGAATAGACTTTTGCTCATGAGCATTGAGGTGAGCATAATTTTGCACATGTGCATTTTGGTTAGTATTGTCCTGCCTAGCAAAGACTAACAATCTGCACATGAGCAAAATCCAATTCTACCTAATTTGCATACAATTCTTACTTGATTCTCATGTGAGTCTCATGAGCTGCTCATGAGCATTTGTTAGAATGTTTGGTACGGGATACTTAAACATTTTTCCCCAAACTGGAAAACTTAATTGATGCCAAAGAAAATTAAACCACAACTTAATACATCAACTTGAAGTATGAAAATTCCACACATAATATTTACATAAATCAAAAGTTGATTCAAAAGTTAAGAGAGCTGAACTTAGAATTGCTAATTTGATTTGGAAATTTTTACAGATATTGATGAATGCTCCAACAGTTCTGTGAATGGCTGTGAACAGATCTGTACAAACACAGAGGGAAGTTACTCCTGCTCATGTCATCAAGGATACAGATCAGCAGGGACGTTATGTCTAGGTAAATACAAGAATTTATGTAAATTGAATACTAGACAATTTCAAATAAACATAATGTAATTCATGCACTAAAATCTGCGTGCATTAAATATACTTGTTCATAATGAGTTTACAAATTAAGTCTTTTAAATAATTGTATTTGTTTTTTTCAGACATAGATGAGTGTACAGAAGGAACCAGTCAATGTCAACAACTCTGTGTGAACGCTGTAGGTTATTATAATTGTTCCTGTGTTGACGGCTATTCTCTCCAACCAGACGGACTCTCTTGCGTTATACAAAGTAAGTCTCCTGTGTTATATGAAGTAAGTGTCCTGTGTTATACAAAGTAAGTCTCCTGTGTTACACAAAGTAAGTCTCCTGTGTTATACAAAGTAAGTCTCCTGTGTTGTACAAAGTAAGTCTCCTGTGTTATATGAAGTAAGTGTCCTGTGTTACACAAAGTAAGTCTCCTGTGTTATATGAAGTAATTCTCCTGTGTTGTACAAAGTAAGTCTCCTGTGCTATACAAAGAAAGTCTTCTGTGTTACACTAAGAAAGTCTTCTGTGTTATACAAAGTAAGTCTCCTGTGTTATATGAAGTAAGTCTACTGTGTTATACAAAGTAAGTCTCCTGTGTTATATGAAGTAAGTGTCCTGTGTTATATGAAGTAAGTGTACTGTGTTATATAAAGTAAGTCTCCTGTGTTATACAAAGTAAGTCTACCGTGTTATATGAAGTAAGTGTCCTGTGTTATATAAAGTAAGTCTCCAGTGTTATACAAAGTAAGTCTCCTGTGTTATATGAAGTAAGTCTACTGTGTTATACAAAGTAAGTGTCCTGTGTTATACAAAGTAAGTGTCCTGTGTTATATGAAGTAAGTCTCCTGTGTTATACAAAGTAAGTCTACTGTGTTATACAAAGTAAGTGTCCTGTGTTATACAAAGTAAGTGTCCTGTGTTATACAAAGTAAGTCTACTGTGTTATACAAAGTAAGTCTCCTGTGTTAGTATGAAGTAAGTCTACTGTGTTATACAAAGTAAGTCTCCTGTGTTATATGAAGTAAGTGTCCTGTGTTATACAAAGTTAGTCTACTGTGTTACACAAAGTAAGTCTACTGTGTTATACAAAGTAAGTCGACTGTGTTATACAAAGTAAGTCTAGTGTGTTACACAAAGTAAGTCTTGACTGTGTTAATCAAAGTAATTCTCCTGTGTTATACAGAGTTGTGGAAAACTTTTTCAGATAGCCAGTCATTTGGACTGGCAAGAAAACAAAATAAGCCGGTCCGAAGTGATTTTTGTCGGTCCGAAATAGTAAGTCGCAAAATAAAAATAAAAAAAACGTATTATTTATTTATTTTATAACACATCTATTTAATAAATCATGTTAATAATAATACAAAATTCAGTTTCCATTTCCATGTCCTCTTCCGTTTTCTTTTAAATTTGCATTTATAACATTACTAGATACCACTGCTTTTTGGCAGGTGACAATGCTAATTCAGCATCGTGAACGTAATGTTTAAAAACATTTATGCATTTTGGAATTATATTAACCTAGAAAATGGGACTAAAAATTGCAAAATTTCCTTGCATCAATAATAAAGATATCAACATGATCGGTGAAAAAACGAAAATCAGAGACTGTCGGAAGTACTAGATTTAATGTTTTTCCCACCTGTACATGAATTCTTTCAGTTGAAATTTTTCATATTTAGCTCGTCTTCATCTTTTTCTTTAATATGTTTTCAACCTAATTTTGCCCTCGTTGTAAATTTAATATGTCGCAAGAACCATGCTGGTTTCGCTTTCATTTACAGCCTCGATCTCATTTAAAGAAAAGGTATTACGCAATCGCATATAAGGTATGATAATTAAGATGGGAAAACACAGATGATAAATGGACAAACAAAACAAAACTTTAACCAAAAAAGGGGTCGGTGATGTGGACCGACATTAATGGCATTTTTACCAGTCATGAGAATTTGTTGCCTGCATGACCGGCAATTTTCCACAACTCTGGTGTTATACAAAGTAAGTCTCCTGTATTATACAAAGTAAGTCTCCTGTATTATACAAAGTAAGTCTCCTGTGTTATGTGTTATACAAAGTAAATCTCCTGTGTTATACAAAGTAAGTCTCCTGTGTTATACAAAGTAAGTCTCCTGTATTATACAAAGTAAGTCTCCTGTATTATACAAAGTAAGTCTCCTGTGTTATGTGTTATACAAAGTAAATCTCCTGTGTTATACAAAGCAAGTCTCCTGTGTTATACAGAGTAAGTCTACTGTGTTATACAAAGCAAGTCTCCTGTGTTATACAGAGCAAGCAAGTCTCCTGTGTTATACAGAGTAAGTCTCCTGTGTTATACAGAGTAAGTGTCCTGTGTTATACAAAGTAAGTCTACTGTGTTATACAAAGTAAGTCTACTGTGTTATACAAAGTAAGTGTCCTGTGTTATACAGAGCAAGTCTCCTGTGTTACGCAAAGTAAGTCTCCTGTGTTATACAGAGTAAGTCTCCTGTGTTATACAAAGCAAGTCTCCTGTGTTATACAGAGTAAGTCTCCTGTGTTAAACAAACTATCCTGTGTTATACAAAGTAATTACATTTCCTTTAAAATACAAAGAAACTATTCCGTCAATCTCAAGTAATTAAAAATTGATTTTTAAAGCAATAAGAGCTGCAACTTTGATGTTGGAATTTTGTGTTGCAAAATTGTAAATAACTATTTCAATGACAGAAAAAAATAATGTTAATAGACTTCTGTTCTCATATTCGTGATGGAAGAAACTATTTATAAGCTTCAACTGAGACAAAATTACATTATTGTCGCCCTGTACAATAATGATTTCTTATACAAAACTGTAGATTGAATTCTATATAGAAGTCTTTCTTCTATTTTATTTTAGTCTAATTGATCATAAAGGTTTAAGTTATATACAGATGTATCATAATAACACATTTTAACAGCAAAATAAAATTTTCAAAAATACAGCTCGTATTGCTTTAATATTGGAGACTGTTGGGAGCTAAGAAGTGACTGAAATGAAAAATTCTTTGTAGTATTTTTAAATGGAAGATGTTCATGAACAAGATTTCCTTTTATATTGCAGGTCCACAAGTCTCCTGTAACAGTTTGAACTGTAGTCAAGGATGTTCTGTCAACAGCTCGGGTTCTCCATATTGCTTCTGTAACCAAGGTTACAGCCTGCTGCCAGATGGAGAGAACTGTACTGGTGAGTGAAATTTCAAGGAAGGAAAAAATTATCAGTTTTCACTGATTCTGTGGATACAATGTGAAGTTTTAAATATACATATAAATTTATTTTGCAATAGATGTGAATGAATGTGAGAATAGTGGCACCTGTCCCCAAGTGTGTACAAACACTGATGGTGGTTTTACGTGCAGTTGTTTGGTTGGTTACAAACTTCAGAATGACCAGATTTCTTGCACAGGTACAACCTTCTTTTATGTCAAACTGTTTGAATTCTGCTAAAGTGAGTTCAATTCACAGTACTATATGCCTTTAAAACATGTTGATGAATGATTCTTTGAAGGTTGTGATTCCCTGCATTGGGGTTACAATTGCAACAGATCATGTGACTGTTCCCAGAATGCTTTGCATTGTGACAGTGTAAGAGGATGTGTTTGTAAGACTGGTTGGACAGGAACCCTGTGTGACACTAACATCAATGAATGTGTGGATCCAAGTTTGTGTTCAGCTACAGAGGTGTGTGTGGACAATCTAGGGTCCTACAGCTGTCAGTGTGTCAGTGGATACCAGAGAAATGCTTCACAAATCTGTCAGAGTAAGAAATAAGATTTTATTAGCTCTTCTGAGCCAAAGGCTCAAAGAGCTAATGCTATGGCCATTTGTGCGGTGTGCGTAAACTTTTTAGAATATGGGCCATAACTCAAGAACCCCTCGGCCAATCGATACCAAATTTGTCACGGTATCCTTGGCCCAAGGGCTACCATTTATACTAAATTAAGGGTTGGGACCCTTAAACAAGGGGAGATAATCAGGAAAACAAAACTAAAAGTACTGGTTGCTAAAAAATCTTCTTCTCCATAACCACCAGGCAGATTTTCACCAAACTTACATACAAGGATCAGGATATGTCGAAGATTAAAATTTGCACGGGGAATTACCCTGGGGCAAAGGGCGTGGTCTCAAGGTCACTTCAAAGTTGACCTAAATTTACAATTAATAAAAATGTGTATATTTTGCTTACTATAAGGACTAGGATCATCAAATCTTGTTAGTTGATGCATCTTACGACTTCACATCATGTTAACTCAAAAGTAGGTCACGATGACCTACTTTTTAAATTTTGTGGGGATTTGTTTTCAAATTGATTTGAAGGCATATTTTGGACACTTTAAGGCCTATGATCATCAAACTTTGTCAGTTGATGCATCTTGGGTCCTCGAACAATGTCAACTTAAAATTAGGTCACCTGACCTACTTTTTGAACTTTATGACTTATCTTTTTAAAAACATAAAATCCCATTATTTCAGACACTGGGAGGTTTAGAATCATCAAATCTTGTACTTTGATGCATATTGGGAGCTTGAAACATATTTATGAAAAAGTAGGTCACTGTGACCTACTTTTTGAATTTTGCCAACATTTGTTTCAAATTGTTTAAAACGCATATTCTGATTGCCTTCAGACCTAGGATCATCAAACTTGGTCAGTAGATGCATCTTGGGTCTTTGAAAAATGTCGACCAAAATGTAGGTCACAATGACCTACTTTCGACATTTTATGGCTATATTTAAGTATCTTAGGTATTTATTGGCTTAGAATCATCAAACTTTGTGAGTCCATGCATATTTGGTTTTCGGAGAGTGATGACCAAAAAGGAGTTCACGGTGACCTACTTTTGACATTTTATGGCTTTATTTAAGTATCTCAGGTACTTATAGGCTTAGAATCATCAAACTTTGTGAGTTGATGCATCTTGGGTTTTCGGAGAGTGACGACCAAAAAGTAGGTCATGGTGACCTACTTTTGACATTTTGTGGCTATAATTAAGTATCTCTGGTACTTATTGACCTAAAATCATCAAACTTTGTCAATTGATGTATCTTGGGTTTTCGGAGATTGTCGACCAAAAAGTAGGTCACAGTAGGGGTGGGACGATACACAGATCTTGCGATACGATATGTATCTCGATATATTGGCACGATACGATACGTATCTCGATATTTTGATAAATTATAAAACTATTTTTAAAAAATTAATATTTTATTTCATGTCCTGTCATTAAATCAACATGATATATTGTAAAACTTAATTCAAAAGAATTAGTATTTTATTTCATTTTTTTGCCTTGACATTAAATCAACAAATTATTCTATATCAAATCATGTGTGCTTTGAAATTAATACTTGAAGTTCATCAATATCATTCACTAAAACTTTACAAAAACAATAATACATGTACATATTATTATTACCAAATTACTTTTAAGAAGTTGTTTACAAATAGTTGTGTAGTTCATCAGAGAACACTGACTAAAATTCATTTAAAAACATCACATTTACATTTTTATTAATTGCTGAAAGTCTGTAGCAAAGCTGAATTATAATAATATCAAATGCTCTGGAAACCATGTTTTCTGTGTATAGCACGCATTACATACTGAACTTTTCTTGTCCAATCTTCTGAGGCTGCTTAAAAGTGAAAACATTTTACCCCTAAACAACAACTTATTAGTTCTAAAGTCTGTTTTCAATAATCAACATCGTCTTTTCGCTTCGCTCAAGCTGCCATTTTCCAAGGACATGTACTTTCATTTTCAATTTTGGATAGGTCGTTCGTGTATCGTTTCGTACCGATATTTGAATGCTTGTATCGTAAAACGTATCTTAGAGGAAAATATCGATATGTATCGGTATATCTTCCCACCCCTAGGTCACAGTGACCTACTTTTGACATTTTTATGGCTATATTTAAGTATCCCAGGCACTTATTGGCTAAGAATCATCAAACTTTGTCAGTTGAGGCATCTTGGGTTTTCGGAGAATGTCGAATAAAAAGTAGGTCACGGTGACCTACTTTTGAATATCTCAGGTATGTATTAGCTTAGAATCATCAAACTTTGTCACTTTAGGCACCTTGGATTTTCGGAGAACGTTGACCAAAAAGTAGGTCACTGTGACCTACTTTTGACATTTTATGGCTATATTTAATTATATCTGGTACTTATTGGCTTGGAATCATCAAACTTTGTCAGTTGAGGCATCTTAGGGTTTCATTGAATGTCCAACAAGAAGTAGGTCACTGTGACCTACTTTTGAATATCTCAGGTACTTATTGGCTTAGAATCATCAAATTTTGTCAGTTTAGGCATCTTGGGTTTTTGGATAACGTCGACCAAAAAGTAGGTCACCATGACCTACTTTTGACATCTGATGGCTATATTCAATTGTCTCTGGTACTAATTGGCTTAGAATCGTCAAACTTTGTCAGTTGATGCATCTTGGGTTTTCAGAGAATGTTGACCAAAAAGTAGGTCATGGTGACCTACTTTTGAATATCTCAGGTACTTATTTAATTAGAATCATCAGTCCTTGTCAATTAATGTATCTTGAGTCCTCAGAAAATTTCAATCAAAAGGTAGGTCACTGTGACCCACTTATGGTATTTTATAATTATATTATAATATCTTCAGTCTTAACTGGCTAAATATTATCAGACTTTGTAAGTTGATGCATTTTGGGTCTTATGATACTAATAGAGTTGGAGGCTTCTAATAGAAGTGATAGATTGTACAATTTAACAGAAGAGCGATTCAAGGCCCTTGGGCCTCTTGTTTGCTTGCCTTTTGTCCTCTTCTTTATATGGAAGAAGCTGCTTAATAAATTATTTAGTACACATTTCTCATGTATGTAGCAGTTTGTTTGAGTCAAACTTGAATCTGATCCTTTTGCTGTAGATGTGGATGAGTGTAGCTCAGCCCTCCATAACTGTACCTCCACAGAGAACTGTCAAGACATACCAGGCTCATTCCTCTGTCCCTGTCAAGTGGGCTTCCAGAGAAACTCCACCTCAGGAGATTGTGAAGGTAGACATAGAGGTTTTGTTCTGATAATGACATGCCCTGATACTGAAAATCTATGTACAGAGTGTAAAGCTGTTGTTTTTCATTTACTGTATGTCAGTACGTTTTGATTTTTGTCATTGTTTTGAACTGTACAAGACAAAGACTTTACTTTGCCTTGCATAACATTTTTGATTTTAGATCAATGTCATAATTTGAAATCTGCCATAACAGATTGCATCGATATCTGGTTTTGTTTAAGAAATGAGTCTTTGTGCAATAAATATGCTGTTATATTTTACATTTGTGAGTTGTATTGATTTCCAGATATTGATGAGTGTAGAGGAGGGACAGATTCCTGTAACCAGAATTGTCAAAACACTGTAGGGAGCTATTATTGTACCTGTTATATTGGATATCAGCTACAGGACGACAGGAGAACTTGTGTTCAAGGTAATATGATATCTGATATCTTAATATAATATCTGTTCTATTGAATATCAGCTACAGGACGACAGGAAAACTTGTGTTAAATGTATGTATGATATCAGATGTCACTTGTTATATTGGATATATCAGTTACAGGACAACAACAGAACTTGTGTTAAATGTAAATTTGATATCTGTTATCTCAATAAAATACTTGTTACATTAAATATCAGCTTCAATGTGATATGATAACTTATGTGAAATATAAATATGATTTCAGACAGCATAATTTGAGTATGGATATACTTTCCTCCCAAACATGCCTCTACTTGCACATATTGATGATGATTCAGGCCTTCAGTTATTTTACAGAAACTTAATTCAAATTAAATCTGTGTATTTGGAATTGATATGCATCATGTTCTTCTGGGCAGGTTTTTCATGTAACCCAGCTGTACATTTAATTATGAAATTGAGCCTTCTTGTTTTTGTTTTATTTGTAGCCCAAAATCCCTGCCTTGGTGCCAGCGTGGATGGAACTTGTGACACGACTCATGGAGGATGTACTGTTAACTCCTCCAATGTAGCCTATTGTTTCTGTGACCATGGATACGACCTCCAGGTCAACGCTTCAGGATTCTCACTCTGTCAAAGTAAGATATATCAGTTACAAAGCAATTTTTTGATATTTTGATTGATTGTTATAATATCATTTGAATATTGTGCTAAATCTATTTCCTGGATTGGCTGTGATATCTGTTAAATGTAGATATCTGCTGATGTTGTAGATATTTGTTGATGGTGTTGATGCTTTGACTGATATTTATTAGCTCTTCTGAGCCAAAGGCTCAAAGAGCTAATGCTATGGCCATTTGTGCAGTGTGCATAAACTTTTTAGAATATGGGCCATAACTCAAGAACCCCTTGGCCAATCAGTACCAAGTTTGTCACAGGGTATCCTTGGCCCAAGGGCTACCATTTATACTAAAATAAGGGTTGGGACCCTTAACAAGGGGAGATAATCAGGAAAACAAAACCAAAAATACTGGTTGCTAAAAAATCTTCTTCTCCATATCCACCAGGCAGATTTTCACCAAACTTACAAACAAGGATCAGGATATGTCGAAGATTAAAATTTGCATGGGAAATTACCCTGGGGCAAAGGGTGTGGTCTCAAGGTCACTTCAAAGTTGACCTAAATTTACAATTAATAAAAACGTGTATATTTTGCTTACTATAAGGACTAGGATCATCAATTCTTGTAAGTTGATGCATCTTACAACTTCACATCATGTTAACTCAAAAGTAGGTCAGGGTGACCTACTTTTTAAATTTTGTGGGGATTTGTTTTCAAATTGATTTGAAGGCATATTTTGGACACTTTAAGGCCTATGATCATCAAACTTTGTCAATTGATGCATCTTGGGTCCTCGAACAATGTCAACTTAAAAGTAGGTCACAGTGACCTACTTTTTGAACTTTATGACTTGTCCTTTTAAAAACATTAAATCCCATTATTTCAGACACTGGGAGGTTTAGAATCATCAAATCTTGTACTTTGATGCATCTTGGGATCTTAAAGCATGTTTATGAAAAAGTAGGTCACTGTGACCTACTTTTTGAATTTTGCCAACATTTGTTTTCAAATTGTTTAAAATGCATATTTTGATTACCTTCAGACCTACGATCATCAAACTTGGTCAGTAGATGCATCTTGGGTCTTTAAAAAATGTCGACCAAAATGTAGGTCACGATGACCTACTTTTGACATTTTATGGCTATATTTAAGTATCTTAGGTATTTATTGGCTTAGAATCATCAAACTTTGTGAGTCCATGCATATTTGGTTTTCGGAGAGTGACGACCTAAAAGTAGGTCACGGTGACCTACTTTTGACATTTTATGGCTTTATTTAAGTATCTCCGGTACTTATTGGCTTAGAATCATCAAACTTTGTGAGTCAATGCATCTTGGGTTTTCGGAGAGTGACGACCAAAAAGTAGGTCATGGTGACCTACTTTTGACATTTTGTGACTATAATTAAGTATCTCTGGTACTTATTGACCTAAAATCATCAAACTTTGTCAGTTGATGCATCTTGGGTTTTCGGAGAACGTCGACCAAAAAGTAGGTCACAGTGACCTACTTTTGACATTTTATGGCTATATTTAAGTATCTCAGGCACTTTATTGGCTAAGAATCATCAAATTTGTCAGTTGAGGCATCTTGGGTTTTCGGAGAATGTCGACCAAAAAATAGGTCACAGTGACCTACTTTTGAATATACGTATAAGCTTAGAATCATCAAACTTTGTCAGTTTAGGCACCCTGGGTTTTCGGAGAATGTCGACCAAAAAGTAGGTCACTGTGACCTACTTTTGACATTTTATGGCTATATTTAATTATATCTGGTACTTATTGGCTTGGAATTATCAAACTTTGTCAGTTGAGGCATCGTAGGGTTTCATTGAATGTCCAACAAGAAGTAGGTCACGGTGACCTAATTTTGAATATCTCAGGTACTTATTGGCTTAGAATCATCAAATTTTGTCAATTTAGGCATTATGGGTTTTTTAATAATGTCGACCAAAAAGTAGGTCACCGTGACCTACTTTTGACACTTGATGGCTATATTTAATTATCTCTGGTACTAATTGGCTTAGAATCGTCAAACTTTGTCAGATGATGCATCTTGGATTTTCAGAGAATGTTGACCAAAAAGTAGGTCATGGTGACCTACTTTTGAATATCTCAGGTACTTATTTAGTTAGAATCATCAGTCTTTGTCAAAATTAATGTATCTTGAGTCCTCAGAAAATTTCAATCAAAAGGTAGGTCACTGTGACCTACTTATGGTATTTTATAATTATATTATAATATCTTCAGTCTTAACTGGCTAAATATTATCAAACTTTGTAAGTTGATGCATTTTGGGTCTTATGATTCTAATAGAGTTGGAGGCTTCTAATAGAAGTGATAGATTGTACAATTTATCAGAAGAGCGATTCAAGGACCTTGGGCCTATTGTTGATCATGACATCGATATCTTTTGTTGTAAATATCAATGTTGAAGTTATAGATATCTGTTGATGTTGTAGATACCAATGTTAATGTTGTCGATATCTAGAGAAATCTGTTGATGTTATAGATACTTAATATTGTTGTAGATATCAATGAGTGTATAACCAACATCTCTGGCTGTTCCCACATCTGTAATGATGTCAGTGGTACCTTCTACTGTACTTGTCGTGATGGCTACAAACTGACAACAGATCAAAAAACTTGTGAAAGTAAGCAATTTACTATAGAAATGTGTAACTTTGAAGTTCTGTTTTTTTTTCTACTCATATTTTTGTAGAGATTTATTACATTCACTATTTACTTATTCTGAATATTTATAAGTATGCAAACATGTAATGCTGTCAGATGTGTCAATGCTAATAAAATCTTGTTTTTCCCTCAGGTTGCAGTGTCACCAACACCTGGGGATCTAACTGTACCACCCCCTGTAACTGTGGGGTGGGGGCCTCCTCATGTGACCCCCTGATTGGCTGTCGCTGTCTGCCAGGGTGGACAGGAGCCCTGTGTGAACTTAACATCAATGAATGTCTGAGCACCCCGTGTAATGTAACCCAAACATGTGTAGATACTGAAGGCTCCTACATATGTCAATGTGATTCAGGATTTCAGAGTAACCAAAATGGGGGATGTCAAGGTAAGATGATTTGTGTACATGAACTTACATGTATGTTTGTAGGTGACTTACGTACTTTGAAAAAAAACCCATTAATGTACAGAAGAAAAGGTTCGTTTGTGTACAGTAAAAGAGGGGGTTGTTTTCTTTTTCAAGTTGTCAATGTTTTCTTGAATAAGTTTGTCTAAATCATATTTGTAGATGTTGATGAATGCAGCAACGGCCAAGCTAGATGTCATCAATTGTGTACAAATACAGTAGGAAGCTACAACTGTTCTTGTAGACCTGGATTTGAGCTGAAGTCAGATGGCATCTCATGTCAAGGTTTTAAAATGATGCTTTAAATTTATTGTTTTGAAAGCCATAAAAATAATTAAAACCAGCTGACTGGAATCTTCAGTTGAAATGTGTTGAATTTATTTTACAACTGTTTTATTTGATTTATTCACAGATGTAAATGAGTGTTCGACTAACAACCACAACTGTAGCCAGGCCTGTAGTAACACAGAAGGGAGCTACTTCTGTTATTGTAACCTGGCTAGTGATGGCAGGACCTGTAATCTTATTGTGACTACAACAGTGAGTGTAAGTACAACCCAGCAGTCTGTAGAAACTATCACAACTCAACAGCCTACAACTACTACTACAACTCAACAGCCTACAACTACCACGACTCAGCAGCCTAAAACTACCACAACAACTCAACAGCCTACAACTACTACTACAACTCAACAGCCAACTACAACCACCACAACTCAGCAGCCTACAACTACCACCACAACTCAACAGCCTACAACTACTACTACAACTCAGCAGCCTACAACTACCACGACTCAGCAGCCTACAACTACCACAACAACTCAACAGCCTACAACTACTACTACAACTCAACAGCCAACTACAACCACCACAACTCAACAGCCAACAACCACTACAACTCAGCAGCCTACCAGTACAACTCAGCAGCCTACCACTACAACTCAGCAGCCTACCACTACCACTACAACTCAACAGCCAACAACCACTACAACTCAGCAGCCTACCACTACAACTCAACAGCCTACCACTACCACTACAACTCAGCAGCCTACAACAACCACTACAACTCAACAACCTACAACAACCGCTACAACTCAACAGCCTACAACTACCACTACAACTCAAAAGCCTACAACAACCACTACAGCTCAACAGCCTACAACTACCACTACAACTCAACAGCCAACAACAACCACTACAACTCAACAGCCAACAACAACCACTACAACTCAACAGCCAACAACTACCACTACAACTCAGCAGCCTACAACTACCACTACAACTCAGCAGCATACAACAACCACTGCAACTCAACAGCCTACAACTACCACAACAACTCAACAACCTACAACTACCACTACAACTCAGCAGCCTACAACTACCACTACAACTCAACAGCCAACAACCACTTCAACTCAACAGCCTACAACAACCACTACAGCTCAACAGCATACAACAACCACCACAACTCAGCAGCCTACAACAACCACCACAACTCAACAGCCTACAACAACCACCACAACTCAACAGCCTACAACTACCACTACAACTCAACAGCCAACAACTACCACTACAACTCAACAGCCAACAACTACCACTACAACTCAACAGCCTACAACTACCACTACAACTCAACAGCCTACAACTACTACTTCCTCTACAAGGAGATCTACAACTATGACAGTTTTAACACAAAGTTTGACCCTCACTACCACAACTATAGCACCAACCTCAACTCAGCCATATACAGACACAAGTGAGTTGAATTATAATCCATTGAAAAGGCACAAATATCTTTTAATAAACCCATTTTCAATTTAAACTAGGGTATTATTTATAAAATTACTCATCCTTGTGTATTATTTACAGTATTGCTACCTTATGGATCAGTGTATGGTGACTCTTTAGCCAATACAGGAGATGATGCTTTACAAGCAGTAGTGTTTAACCCAATAGGATTCATGTGTGGATGTTCAATCAGCAAACAGATATATGTAAGTCAAATTGTATCTTGCTGTCAAAACAGATTGAAGAATAATGTAGATGATATCAAAATTATCAGTTAAAAAAATGTAAACCTGAGTAATATAATGCAGAAGAAATTATACCTATAAAGTATACATTCATAAGTACTTTCAACTAATTTCCAGATTTATTCCAATGGCTATGTTTCTGTCGGTGAGAGATTTGATGATGAGAGACCAGTGCTTCTGTCTGATACCTCAGGATCCATTGTAAACAATAAGGTCCTGGCCCCTCTCTGGACAGACATTGACCTGACCAGTGTCTCTCATATCTGGTATCAGCTCTATCACAAGTTTGGAGACACAGATGTTACTAATGTTCTTACAAGGGCTAGGGATCTAGTTGTCAGCAATATAAAAGATGCAGAAGAAGTGACTTCATCATTTGATCCTAACTCGGCTCTGATTGTCACCTGGGAGAATGTAATGCCCTCTCCAAGCTCCATGTATACAACAAAGGTGTGGTATAAGTTAGCTTTGATTGTATAATAAGTATATTATAATTACATTTCCTGTCCATAACTTTAAGACAGAGCAGTGCTCCAAGTCGCACTTACTTTTAGAGCGCTGAATGGCGACCTAAAAAATTTTTTGGTTGCCATTTCAGAATTTCTGGTCGCCATAAACAAATTTTTCACTCGCCATGATGAAAACATGTGAATAACACAATTAAAACAAGGAACTAACATTCACATGTGTTATGTTTTATTAAATCAAAGATTATTGATTACTGTGACTAGAAATCTTTTGCTAGTTGAAGGATATATTTTTATTAAATACAACCACCCTTTATATAGTACACAGAAGAATACAAGGAATCTGATCCTAGAATTAAAGTTTAATCAAAAGAAAATTAAACTTTGACAGTTGTTGAGACAGGACTTTGCCAATTGTTTATCATGTTTACCTGTTTACTTACTACTACATATCTTACCCCTAACACAGTCATTATCAATGCCGCCCAAACAATTAATTGTTATATGCAAGCCATTGACCAAATGCTTTAGTAACAAGGTCAGAGAAACTCTAGAAAGTTTACAACGTTTGGATGCCATTCTCTCGGAGACGTTACGTATATCCGTTTCTGGTTCTATCAAACTTTACTATTACAGCATGCTGTCATAACATTAGGCGACCATAATTTGATTTTTAGTTTTACGGATTTTTTTTCAAGAAAGGTCAAGTCGGAGGACGAAAAAAAAAAAAAAAAAAAGACAAAAATCATTCTAGCAACGACCTTTTTCACATATAAAAAGTCACACATTTCACTGTAGTATAAAACAAAACAATAAACAACTTACAAGATATGTTTTTTTAATATTAATACACATTACTTGTATAAATGTTGTTATTTATAAAAATGACAACTTTTAATTCAAACATTGTTTAATATGAGTACCATTTAATATTTGAAATTATATAAATTTAATTATGTTCTTCACTGTATAGTTTGCACATTCATTTGAATGTCATTTGAATAATATTCAGGGTAAATATCGAAGTTTAACTTGGCAATTAAAAGATTTAATAATATTCTGCAGACGGTCTGAGTTTCCGGCTTTTAACTGATTGATGAATGGATTTTTCTCATTATAAGGAGCAAGAGAACTGTTTCCTGGATTTAATAAAGATCTGAAATTGAAGGAATTGGAAGTACCTGTTAGCCAAACTTAAAACTTTAAACATTTTTAAAAATTACATGCGTAATCTATTGAGAATGAATTAGATGGATTCTTAGATCCTGCATTCTTTTTTTCACTCTTAGTACATATGATATCAAAGCATTATTGTAGTCCTGTTCCAATTTGCTAATATTATATTTTGAAATTCAGAAACTTTATTACCCTGTTTAGCTACTTAAATTCAAAGAAGTCTTCTACAGGTACTGTCAAGTTGCTCTGCAGTTTCAAGGGCTTTTATATACTGGTGTTGATGTAGGATTTGCTAAGTCACTGAATCTCATAATACGCAGTGTTCCCTCTGCAGACTCTTTATTAGTTACCATGTACTTGCTTTCATTTCCTCTTTAAATTATTAATAAAGTACTATAGTTTATGTCTTTCCTGGTCACCGTATTATTTATGGAGGAATTGTTTTGTTTTAGGCGCATATAAACTTGTTTGCAGCAAAGTATCAAAAAAATTCATATCGTTATTTACCGCCCTTTTTTGCAAAATTTCCACATCTGGTATCTCTGTCTTTGATAAAAAACACTTTTTATGAGGATAATGAGCAATTAGAACTGCAATTACATCTGGTAGCACAGTTGACACCTTGATTATTACCTGTTATCAGTGGCAATAAGCAGATTAGCTACCGGTAAACACTGCATGACAGCCATTTTTGTTTTGACTTGTCGGTATTTTACAAATCGAAGAAGGTAAAAAATCCGGATATTTTCGAAATCGGTAGAAACAGCAATTAAAAAAATAGAGAGAGACATGCGATGGGGAGGTTTCAGAATTGGTAGACTCTCGATAAAATCAAAGTTGACAGCTCACCTTCTTCTACCATTCTGCACATGTGTTTTTTTTTTACGTTTCTGACTGATTTGCTTTTATAAAACACAGGTTTGACACGAGCGGATTGAAAAATTCCGATTTTATTTTTTTTTTGAAATGCAAATTTTAAGAGTCGGCGGATCCGTAAAACTAAAAATCAAATTATGGTCGCCTTACATGATCTAAGTCCATATGACGCTTTGTAAAATTTGTAAAAGTATATACATGTATCTTCAAACTTTGTCTTGATAGAGAATCTTGAAAATGTAAATCTCGATCCTGATCATAAAAAGATGAACGTTGCCAGCCCAAATTTTCTCAGTCGCGAAAATACGACTTAGTTTTAAAATCTAGTTGCAAAACCAATTTTTTGGTCACAAATGCGACCATTTTAGTTGCGACTTGGAGCACTGCAGAGACAGAAAAAAGCCTTCAATAATTTGATTTTGCCAGTATTAATTTGATAAATCATATACATTATAACTAGCTATAGACACCTAACTGCTATTGTGTTATCTACACTTAATCAAGTATTCCTATTTCAGAATGCCACATTCCAGTTGGTTGTTGTCAGTGATGGTGTTGCTACCTATGCCTCCTTCTTATTCCACTCTGTTAACTGGGACACCACCAAGCCAGCAGTGATGGGGTACCGGTGTGGGGACACCGTATCTGATACCTACACCCACCCCGCCTCCTTCTCCAGGCAGATCTACCCAACAGTCATAGAACAGGGATACAACAGTAAGGCCATACAATTTCTAATATAGTTCTTCGGATTCGCCGCTTCTATTTATTACAAATGCAAATTATAATATTAAAAAAAAAATTGTCCGCACGCGCGTCCAAAAAAAATCCGACTACAAATTTTTTCTTGACTTTTTACACCAAACACACAAGACTTTGAAACTTGACAGATGCGCGGGATTTATAGTGAGAATTGAAACAGTTTGTGAAGTTTTGCACGATGCCTGTTTAACTGTTCATATGTACCAGGGGTGTGCAATTAGCATCCCCTGACGCCTGGTACTACCTTTTTGGGGGGTCGAGCTAGTGGTTTTCTACAAGGAGGTAGCCCGTCGGGCTAGTAAAAAATATAACTACACACGCACTATACATGAAACACAACCAGTATTTTCACTCGTTTTTGGCCATAAAATCACCAACCAGTTAAAATTTTCCAAACAAAATGTTCCTACTGTCAATAAATCTCCATAATCTTATCCGTTTTGCAGAACTACCTGACTTATTTACTTCCAAAAATGATCTTTTTTTTCCAAATCCGAATTTCCTCTATTCCTCCGTTTATGGTAAATACATGCAGCTATATCTTTAAATTACTTACAATCACTCAATGAATTAAAAGATAAGTGTTTTGTGACTCACATAAAATATATTTCTTTTTTTTATTGAATGATTTAAGATGAAAACAAAATTTAATTTCATTCTAAATGAGCTAGTGCAATGATCAGAAAAAGGGAAGATAATTTATTGTAGTTCATTTTAATTTTATTTCATAATAATTTAAACATGACTGAATTTGATATTGAGAATTAAACTTTGACTTTAAAAAGAATGACTTCAGTATTCTTTTATCAGCAATTAATTTCTTTTTCAACATTAGTTTTATTTCAATTTTTGCCCCTATATTT